TTATTTATTACAGTTTATTCACTTTGTATCCGAGAGGTAGCCCCCTCCCTAGTCCCCTCCCAACCCCACCCTTCCTCCCTCATCTCCTCCCATACCCCTCCCCAAGTCCACTGATAGGGGAGGTCCTCCTCCCCTTCCCTCTGATCCTAGTCTATCAGTTCCCATCAGGAGTGGCTGCATTGTCTTCTTCTGTGGCCTGGTAAGGCTGTACCGCCGCCCCCCCCCCCCCCGGGGGAAATTCCTTATTTTTAACTTTGAAAATACACTGAGTACAAAACACCACCATCCAACTAAGTGTATATATGTGCAGGAGAAACAAAGACACCCCTCCCCTCCCTCCAAAAAAGGGATGAAAAGATAAAACACTAACCATGGTTATACCCTAACTGATGGAATTTAAGCAACTCCTCTTTCCTCCCCACTCCATCCTTTCTATAGTTAAGATGTATTTCTTTTTAAGAGAGAGAAAAAGAAAGAGTTAAATAGATGGGACATTCCTAAATGAAGCTCAAGAACATACTTAGGATATTCTTGGAACCCCATGGACAACTCTGAAAATCATTCTTATTAGGACATGCCACTCGAGGCTTTCAAATTTATTTTTTATTATTAAAATCATATTTTTATAAGAAAATCCGATATGTATACTAAACTAACCTGGATTAATGCTTGATGTGAATGAAGCTTCCACTAAAGATGCAAGTAAAACAATGTCCTCATGCTTTCTGTTACGGCAGCCAAGACTGAATAGTACATACAAGAACTACGAAAACATCTGAGGAAGGGAAATAATTTTTGCAGCTCAGAAACAACTTATAAAAGTAAAGATCCAGCTTTATATTTAAAAAAATCAAGAAGCTGCGTTTACATGAACAGTATTAGAGAATGACATATGCATACACACAATGCAGAGATGAACTGACAATTGCTATATGGGAAGGGCTGCTCTTTTCTCTCTACTTCTCTACTGATACTATTTTAAGTATGTACTTTACTGAAGAAGACAATGTCCCAGGTGTAGATGAATCTTTTCAGATTAAGAGCTATCATTTACTATTAAGGTCAAAATACTTGAACGACACAGTCCGTGTGTGTGTGTGTACACATATACATAGAGACAGACACATGAACACATATATATACAGACACATATGTATATATAAGGAAACAAATTATCAACATACAAACCACAACATAGGATATAATATTATAAATAAAATATGAATTAGAGGCATGGAGGAAAGAGTTCACCCAGACAAGGGTAAAATGAAAGAAGTACTTAATTTCCAAAGTTTTTCTTTTAAGGTGAGTACTGTCTGAGAGGCACAGAGTGAAACTGTGACTAAAAGGCATATAGGAAAACAAAACACACTCTGAGCAGCTGGCTTAGAATAGATAGCTAAGAAAGATGACATTTTAAAATTTCTTAAGAGAGAGAGAGAGAGAGAGAGAGAGAGTGTGTGTGTGTGTGTGTGTGTGTGTGTGTGTAAAGAAAGATGGACATGAATGCAGTGCCTGTAGAAGCCTAAAGAGAGCACTGGATGCCCTGGAGCTGTAGTTAAAGGTTGTTGTCAGTATGGGGAAGCAAACCAGCATCCTTATTTTTACCTGCTAATCCATTTCTCCAGCCCCATGAATGCTGACCAGGATAAAGGTATCACACTAATTGAGTAAACTAAGTAGGGAGGGGCCAATAGTTACATCACACATAGAATTGTTTTTTACCTTAACACAGGGTGAGGCAGAAATAATGAAAAACCTATTTATAGGGTATAAAAGCCCCTAAGTAGATTCAACATGCTCACACCAGGAGTGGGAGTAGATGTGGTACCTAACAATATAAGGATATAAAAGTATGAAGAAATGTCTGCCAAAGAGCAGTATCAGTCCAGGGGAGCAGGCAAAGAACAAATAGGGAAAAAAATATTTCATACACATGGATATTATATTCTCTCCATCAGCACTTCACAACTTGAGATCAACATTACTTCAGTGAAACACTGAGCAGAAGTGGACTAGAAGGCAGGTACTCACATATGACTGAGTAATGGAAGAGCAGCTTAGATGAAAGTAAAGGCAATGAATACTGAAAAAAGAAAAGTGGAGACTGAAGAAATATAAAGACAGACACTATGTCTAAAAAATTAAGCATAAGAAATGAAGGAAAAGAGACATTAATTATGACTCTGTGTATCTTGAGAACTTGGGAAGAAGAGAAACAAGTGCTCTTTTAACAGCTGAGCCATCCCTTTAGTCACTATTTTTTTAATTATTATTACTCTGTGTGTTGGGGGGAGGGGGAGGCTGACCTGGCACACATGCAGAGATAAGAGGCAACTTTATGCAGTCACCTCTCTGCTTTTACCCTTATGGAAGTTCAAAGGACTGAATTTAGGTTGCCAGCTTTACCCACTGAGCCATCTTGCAAGCCAGGGAAAATTTTTAACTGACACTTTTCCAACAGTCCCAAATGTTTCTCATCATCAAAATAAATTTAAAAAAAAAAAAAAAAAAAAAGATAACCAATAAGCTGGTCCCCAAATCTTCCAAGAACTGGCATGAAAAGAAATTTCTGTTGTTTTTCATGCAGTCTAATACCGACACGGTGGCCCCATGCAAGTAATATACCTATGTATAGGGGCTGGAGAGATGGCTCAGAGGTTAAGAACACTGACTGCTCTTCCACTAGGGCCTGAGTTCAACTCCCAGCAACCACATGGTGGCTCACAATCATCTATAATGAGGCCTGGTGCCCTCTTCTGGCGTGCAGGTGTACATGTAGACAAACCACTGCATGCATACATAATAAATAAATGAATAAATAAATAGATAGATAAATAGATAAATAAATAAATGAATAAATCTTTAATATAAATATATATATATACCTTTGTATATCTAAAACTCAAATAATACTTGATTATTTAAAAGTATATATATATATATATATATATATATATATATATACATATATACACACACCTTTGTATATCTAAAACTCAAATAATACTTGATTATTTAAAAGTAAAACCCACTTAAATACCTGACAAAATCCACTAGGAGAAATATATGTTCAATCCAATTTAGTACTCACAAAAATGCTTTAACATTAAATTGTTACTAATGCTACTCCAAGATGCAAGAACTAAAACCTGGATGACAGGAAACCAGTATCCTGTAGGCTAGCAACAGAAGTAGTTAACACTCATTTTTCTTCCACAGATTTAGATATTCTGCACAAAATGTCTTTTAACATGTTACTACTAAGGTCATAGGCCCTAGAGAGGCAGCTATTGCTTTTTCGTATTATTTTTTAATGGAAATTTTAATTTTTTATGTGTTGGGTGTTTTGCCTGCATATTATATCTGTGAACCATATGCATGCAGTGCTCACAGAGAGTCCTGAAGAGGGTGTCAGATCTCTGGGAACTACAGTTACAGACAGTGTGAGCCACCATTTAAGTGTCAAGAATAAGACCTGTGTCCTCTGGAAGAGCAGCTGATGCTCTTAACCACTGAGTCTCTCTCTAGCCTCCCTTGCCCCTCAGGCAGCACTTCAAAATTTTTAGTTGTTTTTTTTTTTTTAATTTTATTTATATTAATTAGTTTATTTACTTTGTATCCCAGCTATAGCCCCTGCCCAGCTAGAATGTAGGCCAGCGTAGAATGTAGGAGATCTGGTCTTTAAAAACAAAACAAAACAAAACAAAACAAAAAAAAAAAAAAAAAAAACCACAACAACTAAAAGAAAAACAAAGATAGGTCAAAATCTGACACAAAGATAGGTCAAGATCTGACACCCATCTATCCAAAATTCAACTCTAAATTCTAGTTATCTCTTCCACAATTGCAATAAACATTTTTTGTTTTGTTTTTGGAGACAGGGTTTTTTTCTATGTAGCCCTGGCTGTCCTGAAATTCATTCTGTACAGTAGGCTGGCCTCAAAATCAGAGATCCTCCTGCCTCTGCCTCCCCAGTGCTAGAATTAAAGGTGTGTGCCACCATCACCAGGCAGCAATAAATCTTAAGTATACAGAAAACAATGTGTTCCTGTAAAATATGTGATTTGGCTCTATATATCAAATAAGCAATAAAAATAATAAAACAAATAACCCTTAGGGAGTACTCTAACTAGCATTACTACCTTATTAATGAACTTAAATCGTCATCTTCCACAGTAACCCTCACAAAATAGGTATTACTGTCTCTATTCTTCCAGTCAGAACTTGAAGAAGAATTTACACTTACAGTGATCTCAATGCCATCAAGAGGATCAGTTAGGTTAAAGGACAGAACTAGACTCTAAGAACTAATATTAGAGTCTCATGCTTACATATTAAAAACAGAAAAATAATTTAATGCCTCACTTAAAGTAAATATAACATTTACTGTTCAAAGTTATATTTGCACTTTCACCTGCAAAGATAAAGAATGCCTTCATTGTGATGGATGTGTATATGATTAATATATACATATATGTGATTATTACATATTTACATATAATATGTAACAGCTTGCTAAATAGAAATGTTTTCAATCTGATGTTTTGTTGTTTTTGACAGGGTCTTACTGTGTACCTCTGCTCACCTAGAACTTGCTGTATGTCTGGCTTGCTCTGAAATCAGAAACTGGCCTGCCTCAGCCTCCTGAATGCTAGGATTGAAGCATTCACTATCACATCCAGTTTAGGTCTGACCATTCCTAATAAAAACACAGCTCTCATATAATATTATACCAGAGTATAATATAGTATTGTATTAACTTCTAGGCAATCACATGTGAAACCAAAATGGAATTACTTCAAATCACTGTTCTAGAGCTGGAACAGTTAGTGGCAGGCTAAACCTTTTTAAAGAAAGAAACACTGAGGCTTTCAGAGATAGAATGATTTGACCAAAGATATAAAACCAATTCTCAAATGGCTAAGAACAGAATTTAGAACTATTCAGCTGCTATGATGTTAAAAAAAGTAATAAAAACCAAATAAATCCTTTCTTACCAACTGAACTTCACCAAAAGCACCTCTCCCAATAACTTTCACGACATCATAGTCTTCTGCTTTCATCTGTAAACCTCTGATTTTTTTCACAATTTTCTCATCTACAATTAAAAGATCACCATACATTTAATAATAATCATATATAGTAGGAATTTTCTAAAGTAGTCACCATATTTATAAACATTTTTTCTACATATTAGAATTAATTTTTAGCTGATCCTGTTAGTCTTTATATGATCCTACTTGAAAACTTTAAAATGTGGGGATGGAGTGTAGCTCGGCAACAGACTGCTTGATGTGAGGTCCTAGGTTCAATCCCCAGCACTGAAATAAACAACTATTCTAAGGTATGTTATCTTCACATCAAGGAACCAAAGCTCCGTGATTTGCTGGCACATGTCCACAGACTAAATCTGTTCCACTTCTCACTTTACTGTGTGCAAGTAACGTCAATGATCCAGGCAATTCCAATGTGCTTTATCATGACAGAAAGCAACCAAAAAGCCTGGCATGTCAGCCAAGACCAGGAGGCTAAACACAATGACTGTGCATTCTAGGCCAGCTTAGGCCATCTTGCTAGACGTTATCTCAAAAGAGAGAAGGAAGAGATAATACCACTTGCAATTCTAAATTCAGAAACTGACGCTTAACCCACTTCTTTAAAAGATAGCAATTACATATTTCAAATATATCAACTACTGTAGTAACTTAAATGAGCAACACCCTAGTAATGACAATTTCAAAATGAAGGACTTAGCTGTGGGGATAAAGAAGGTACATTAATCATTCTCAAACTCTTTCCCCCTTATATTACACATTTTCAGAATTTTAAATTTTATGTGCTATGTTTAAGACTATGGGTTTGTGTGCGTGAACAAAGTGCCCTCAGAACCCAGAAAAGGGCATCCGATTCCCCAGGAAGTTAGCAAGAAGTGATTGTGAGTTACCTGAATTGGGAACTGGGAATGGAATTCAGGTCCTCTGCAAAAACAGTATGTATTCTTAACAGCTGAGCCACCTCTCCAGAACCCTGGGATTAACTAACTTTCTTTCTTTCCCCTTCCTCCTTTTTCTTCCCCCTCCCCCTTCCCTTCCTTTCCCCTCCCTTCCTGTTTTGTTTTGTAGCCCAGGATAGCCTTAAACCTCCATGGCTATTGTATTGCTACATTCAAGCACGAGCCATCATGCCCAACTCATTTTGGTAATATATTTTCAGAATCTACTTATCAACATAATGCTGACAAACATCAAGAATAAGAATGTACACGGTACTAACTGCCAACAGATCATTTTTCCTTAAGGGGTCTAAACGTATACAATTATTGAAACTAAGTTTATTCAAGTCTTCTGGGTAAATAAAAGCAAAGTCATAGAGTTTCAATATTAACTTAAAATTCCGCTTAGATCAGCCATAGCCAAAAGAGTTATATAGTTTTTAACAATTCATACATAATTTTAAATTTTATCTACTTTACATATTCTAACTTAGTTCAGCAAAATTACTTTGAAAATACAAAATATTATTTTTTTGGCTTTTTCCCCCCTTTGAGGCAGGGTTTTTGTATAGCCCTGGCTGTCCTAGACTAGCTCTGTAAACCAGGCTGGCCTTGAACTCAAAGAGATTTGCCTACCTCTGCCTCCTCCCATCCCCTGAGTGCTGGAATTAAAGGCATGTGCCACCATCACCCACAAAACTTTATTTTTAAATGAAACAAATGGCAAACTTAATAAAAGTTTAATAAATTAATAGATTGTAGTAGTTTGAATATGAATGGCTCCCATAGGCTCGTATATTCAAATACTTAGTCATCAGGGAATGGCACTACTGGAAAGGATTAGATGGATTAGTAGCTGTGGCCTTGGAGGAAGTGTGCCTCTGAGGGTGGGCTTTGGGTTTCAAAAATAGCCCTCTCTTGGCCTGTGGATGAAGGTGTAGCTCTCAGCTACTGCTCCAGTGTGGTATGTGTCACCATGTTCCCTGCCATGATAATGAACTAAACCTCTGAAACTATAATTAATCCCCTAATTAAATGCTCTCTTTCATATATGAGGTTTCTTGGTCATGGTATCTCGTAACAATGTAACTATGGCTTGGATATGAGTTAACAAGTTAATAGATTTAAATACCAAAAAATTAACCAAACACAACCCATTTAAAAACAGCTATGTGTCCAAACATGAATAGCAAAAATAAATATACTTACATCTATTTAAGAAATTATCTATATTTTTATTTTTCCTCAAAGCTGGAAAATCCAAATCAAGAACCAAGGAATTTAAGCCATCCTGTTAAAAAAATAAAGAGTAAAAAGCAAGTTTGTATAATTTAAGCATTCAAAAGTCTTTAAATCTTATATATGCTGTTCATACTGAGTAAATACCAACCCACATTGAAATACTGCAAAGATATATTCACTTATTTAACAATCATTAATTTTGTGCCCAGTGCATATAAAAGGGAAGAGTAAACCCAGAGTAAACAAGATGACAGACACCTTCTCCAGGTAAATGGATGGAACTAAAAAAGATCATACTAAGTAAGGTAACCCAAACCCAGGAAAACAATCATTGCATGTTTTTCTCATCTGAGGTTTCTAGCTCCAAATCTTCAATTATGAGTACATATCCTGGAATAAATGCAGATTACTTAAGGTTAGCCTAGGCTTATATATAGTCACACAAAAATGTTCGGTTTCTATTTCACCCAGAAAAATCCAAGTAATGTTAACTGACCTGCTGTCATTTATTACTAAAAGCTAAACAAAAGCTATTTATAATACTGTATTGTTTTGTAGGTATTGGAAGATTTTTTTTAAGCCCAATTATATGACAGACTAACTTTATCCCATCTTCAACAACAAGAGTTTTATTGCCTAGTAAAAGAGATGTTTACTTGAAGAAGACAGATTAACGAAGGAACACAGCTATAGATAGGAATGAAATAAAAGGCAGAGAGGCTATTGGAATGGCTCAGCAGGAAGTGCTGCACCAGCCTGATGACCCAAGCTTGATCCCAGAACCTACCCACCCATGTAAAAAGCCTGATACATCTGTATACTCTAGCCCTTTTACCAAGAGGTGAGACAGATAATCTCCAGAAATCCCTAGCCTAGAGTACTCAGAACAACAGAAACAACTGACCTTGCCTCAACAAGGTGGAAGGGCAGAACCAACTTCCAGAAGTTGTTGTCTGGCCTTTACACAAACACCATGACACACATATGCTTGCATTCACATATATGTATCATATAAACCTATAATAATAGATAAATATTTAAAAATTTAAGGTGAAAGTGAACCATGTATTTTGCCACATGGATTAACTTCATTATAAAAGCCAGTCACTGGCTCAATAAAGCATAGTCTTCCTATTTCCTCTTATGAAACTCTTATCTAAAACTATAAAAAAAAAAAAAAAATCATCTCCTAAAGCATGCCCTCCTCCTCCAAGAAGCCAAAGAAACCAGGCTGTGGTGGGGCAGGCCTTTAATCCCAGTATTCTGGAGCCATCTCTGAGTTTGAAGCCAGCCTGATCTATACAGTGAGTTCCAGAACAGCCAGAGCTACACAAAGAAACCCTGTGTCAAAATGAAAATAAAATGAAACACATACACAAACAAAAAACCCTCCCCCAAGAGCAGGCACTTGGGAGGTAGAGGCAGGTGGATCTTCATGAATTCAAACCCACCCTTGTCTAGACAGTGAGTTCCCTAGGCTTTAAGGATTAGGGAGCACACTGATGAAATAGTAGGTATCATTCATACTGAGGACAAAGAGAAGCATGTGCACTTTCAACTACAGGGAGGTATAAACGATCCTGCAAGTGAGGAACACACATCCGGCTGGCCTCTAGTCTTCCAAACAACCGTGCCCTGCACTCACTCTCCTATGGAGGCACTCTTCCTCTCATCCTCTGCCTGGATGGTACAGATTAAAATTATGCCATTTTAGAGAAGAAAAAAAAAATGTCAAAACTTAGCAAACTATAAAATTCAAGTATGTATCATGTCCATTACATTGCAACTATTTAAAAATTGACATACACACCACAGGTGTAAATTAAAACCAAAAATGCAAGTAGTAACAGAAAACAAAAAGAAAACGGCAATTGGCCCTTCACCTCTTCCACATATTAAGCTCTTATAAACCTTATAAACTCTCATATCCAAAAATACGAGGCAAAAAAGAATGAAATAGTACTCACATTAACCTCCTCAGTAATGTTCAAGATCACCCAGAATCTATCCTGATAGACTCTAATGATAAAATCTGCATTTCAACAGTACAGCTATCTCAGACTTGACTAATCAGGGAAGGAACTAACAACTAAGAGAATATAATTTTCTCTAGCATGTTAATTTTTTAAAACAATGATGAGCAAATGTTTTCAAATTAAAGAAAAATCATTATCAGTATTATAAAGAACAGTAAGGAAATAGCCAGAAGTCAGACAGAAATGCCTTCTTAAAGCACAGAGCCTCCTGGGCTCCCTATTATTCCTGTTCAACACATTAAGCTGTCCCAAAAACAAACAAACAAAAAACAACAACAACAAAAGCTCAAGCCTTGGGGACTTAATCAAGGCTGTAGGTACTGACAAGCTTGTGATGCTAGGCACACACTAAGGGACTTAGAGTGATCACAATTATACTTTAATTAATACAATGTTTCTTACTCTTTTGGTAAAAGCCCTGATCCTATTCTAATTTCTCCATTATTGCTTTGTATGGCTTTTTAAGAACACATAGTTTGGGGCTAGCAGGATGGCAAGATGGGTAAAAGGCACCAACAACCAAGCTTGACAATCTGATTCAATCTCTAAAGCCCTATGTGGTAGGAGAGATAATTCTCAAGTTGTTCCTCTAATGTACACACAACAACCACATATAAAAAACTATCAAACAGCCATTTAAGACCTAAACATTGATATTTAATGTCCTGAATTGAATCAAGCATTGAACTAATTTTCATTAAATGTAATGATAATGATTTGGGAAATCTCTTTAACTTCTCCCTGCATTTTCCTTTGTTTTGACTGACATATACCAGAATGGAAAATGAAGGGGCTTTTTTTTTTTTTTTTTTTTGACAGCATATGTCCTTGAAAGGCACTCAAGATTAAGAAACAAATCAGAGAAAAATAAAGCAAATAAATTGTGCAGTGAGACTTACTGAACAACTGGAAGGAAGCACCCACAAGCACTAATCTATCTGTTATAGATAGATAAACATTAATGCTGCAGAAAGCTTTTGTAACAGTCACCAGTAGCAGAGGTGGTGCTTTGGTTTAAACACAAAACTCTTGAATACATATACATAAAAATGCAGATAACTCAGTTTCAAGATCTGTCCACAATCACAGATCAAAGAAATTTAATAGACAGTGCTACACACATTCAAAGGGCAAGCTTTTAAAACCTACAGAGCACTATACTCTCCAAAACTTAAAATTTGTAAAAATAAGAGTGTAAAAGTATAAGAAAATATTTTTAACCCTTTGTGGTAAGATGAAAACTACAATGAAAGCTTCCTGCTTTATACAAGTTTCTGGGTAATCTTTCACAACACATCTTTTAAAAAGTCACTGGACTTACAGATGAATTATATATTCTCCTATTAAAAGCTAAATTGCTCTAAATTTACTGATCTTGCCTCCTGACAGCAAGTTATTAACAACAGTACCCTGGTGGGTAGTTTTGGGGGAAGTCTAAGTAAGGACAACAGTCTTAGCAGTAAATGGCAATCACTTTTTAATGTTTTCAAAGAAGTTATTGCTATAGAGATGTCTAGAAATAACCCCAGGCATATGTGAGTACTGATGAGTAAAATGCACTTGGGTCTTCAGATGAATAAACTGTGTTAACTTGCATACTGAAAACCATTAAATTATATTCTAAGCCAGCTAAAACTAAAAGCAGCTGCATGTATTTTTGAAACTATTTTATTCTGTCACTCACTGTCGCTGCTTACTCTGTTAGATGCATGTACATAAACTCTGTTAAACAGTTTTAGAGTATACTTCCACCTTGATGTAATAATGACCGTCCTTGTCTCTAATGGGAGTGTTCTACTGTACACTGTGCCTAATGTTAATTCAAACTCCCTTAATCTTCTACAGAACAGCTCTGTGCACAGACACCTTGACTTGAGGTCAAGGGCACCAACTAGCTCTCCACGGTGACAGAACCAGAGCAGTTGAGTGGATTTTAAACTTATGTTCTAAAATAGAAAAATGCAGCTAACCTAGTTCATTTTTATGATCTGTCTTCCACCACCAGAGAAAAGTTTACTAGGTCCCAGCACCAAAAAATGTTACTACTTGATGAACAGAATGAACAAATATAGTAACTGGTATGCTGTGTGCCCTTTACTTATATCATCATAAAAAATAAAAAAAAAAAAAAAAAAAACCAGCAAAAACTGTGACAGTCCTCAGAAGCTAGGAACAATATAAATTCCAGTGAGACCCTCATCTTCAAAATCACTGTACTGACATTATACCAAATTTTAAAAATAGTATATTTCAATTAGTGAAAAGGGTTCATTCATACATTAGTAAAATTAAGTGATATTTAACTGTTTATCTGTAGATTTACCTTTCACTTTAAAACTTGTTTTATGTATCATTTATAATCTTTAAATATTTATATGTATTATATAAATAACTAAATATCTATTTGCAATTTTTTTCAAAAAGTTATTACTAACAGGATCATAAGATTAGAAATTAACAACTACAAATTCCCTGAAGGCAAGAAATAGCTCATTATCTTCCTTTAAGTGAAAGCTTTTATTTTCTATATTCCAAACATATACGTACATATATTTGTTTATAAACACACACAAACTATTAAATAAGTGCTTACCCAACACATTGATGTCAACATAGCAAAGGTGAATGAGTCCCTCTGCATAGCGCTGATGGCTCCATCTAATCAGCAGTGCCATTCCATCACAATCAGACTATAGTCAGGTTTAAAATGCCTTCCCTCTGCCATTCTGTCTGTACTAAGGACATTTCCTCCCATATGTTTTTCAGGCTCTCATGACTTCTAACCTGTCCTCTCCTCTTCTGCTCCAATCTACACCTGGTTCCAATGCTGAGTAATAATCAATCTTGAGTTTGGTCCCTCATCAAAATTATTCAATAGCTTCCAAATGGCTAAACAATGTAATACTGAGCTGACATGTAACCCTCTGACCTACAGTTTTACTACCCTTCATTCATACTTGCTATATAAAGTTCTACTGTCCATTACAGAAGCCACTAACCATATGAAACTATT